CCGAGGTGAAGACAATGTTTCGCTGTGATAGGCCGTGACCGAGTATTATTGGGGGTCGAGCACCCAACCAGTCCTCAAGCACACCCGGTCCCAGCAACTTGGGCGTTGAATAAATTTTGAGACAGGGAGTTGGATTTAGTCTCTGGTAAGTGTCTGTACTATAAAGAATTACCATTTTTGGGACACTAAGTATTCTGGAAAAAATACCAGTGAGCTTCACTTGATTGGACTCTCTGACACCTGTGTTAAATAACTTTGTTATTTTTCATTTGTGGCAGAAATACTTGGAAGATAAGTTTCTTAGTTTATTTATGCTGTTGTTTGGGTATCTTATCTGCCTTACAAAGGACTGATGGAAACTTAACCGCTAACCCTGATTTTGACAAAGATTCTCCTTGCATTGTTCTCCTGCATCACAGCCTGAGGCTTTGGGGACTGATGGAATAAGAAACCAGAAGGAATTTCCAGAATACCAGGGTTAAATAAAGTGAACATCTAGAGCTTGATAATCGTTGAGCCGCGCAATGAGCCGAGACCGAGACTAAAGACGTCTTTGGCGCCTCCTCCTCGGCTCCTCAGGCGCATCCTGGAGGTCTCGACTTTGGGAAGCAGTTGATGCGATTCCGTCGCATACGCTGAACTAAATGACAAGAGGAATACAAAGACACTACCGGGTACTTCTTAACGAGAAAAATAATTCTACATATACCAACCTTCGGTTAAAAATAAAATGTCTTCCTTTCAATATCATATTCCGGAACCGCTTAGCCTCCTCAAACACACGCATACGACTCCTCCGATTCTCTTACTCCTCATTTCATAGAGCCGATATATTCTTTACATTAAGCATACACGATCTCACCACAAAACGTAATGAATTTCCTTTTGTTTACCTTTAAATTACTAGAAAATATAGGCAGGGCTTTCAGAGCCCGTTTGGCGCCTTGTCCTCAGTCAACAACACGATGCCGCCTACCAATTATTTCAGCGTTTTATCTTATATTTGACGTTGATGTTCATAGCAAAGGACATGTTTATATTTATTCTAAGCTTTATGCATCAACCAATAACTTCAGCCAGTTGGTAACACTGGCTGAAGGAAGCGATAATAAATGTACAAGAAAACCTGACTTGGGATTTTTTTCCAAGGCGCTCGTTCCATTCAAATGCTTTGGCGCGGGGGGGGGGGGGGGGCTCGCTGCCTAGAGTGGATTCAGTTATTCACGTTCGGGTCATCAAATGGATCCAGCTTAACAGATCATGTCATGTGCCTTCTGCAATTTGTATTTTCTTGGAGCATATTTAGAGTGCTGATATTTCTAGTTACTTCTGGAAAATCACTACTTCGAAATAAGTATATACATATCATCGTGTTATTGTTATTACTATTGGTATTATTATTACCATTATAGTTATCATCATTATTACTATTATCATAATCATAATCATTTGTATAAGATCGGCATCACTGTTTTATTATTATCTGTCAAATATCTGTAAGGGTGACTTTCTAGTTAAGAGTTAAATTTTCTTATGGCAAATCGTTGCCATAAATAATAGTATTATACATATACATTTCACTATCGTCAGTCATAATTATACTTTTTATTAGCACTACTATCATTATTATCATCAATATCATTACTTATCTTCATTGTGTTTTTTTTCATTTTTTATAATTTTATCATTATCATTCCCCTTATTATGATGATGATTATTATCAATATTACCATTATAAATATTATTATCATTGTCACTGTTATTATCATTACTATCACTATCATCATCATCCTTATTATTATTATCATTGTTATTATGATGATCATTGTCACTGTTATTATCATTACTATCACTATCATCATCATCCTTATTATTATTATCATTATTATTATTATCATTGTCACTGTTATTATCATTACTATCACTATCATCATCATCCTTATTATTATTATCATTATTATTATTATCATTATTATTATTATCATTATTATTATTATCATTGTCACTGTTATTATCATTACTATCACTATCATCATCATCCTTATTATTATTATCATTATTATTATTATCATTGTTATTATGATGATCATCATAATTATTTCTATTATCAGTATTATTATTATTGTTATTATTGTTATTATTGTTATTATTATCATTATTATTATTATCATTGTCACTGTTATTATCATTACTATCACTATCATCATCATCCTTATTATTATTACCATTATAAATATTATTATCATTGTCACTGTTATTATCATTACTATCACTATCATCATCATCCTTATTATTATTATCATTGTTATTATGATGATCATCATAATTATTTCTATTATCAGTATTATTATTATTGTTATTATTGTTATTATTATCATTATTATTATTATCATTATTACTATTATTATTATTGATAATAATATGATAATAATTACTATTATTGTTATTATTAGTATCATTATCCTTATTATTAATATAATAATAAATATTATTGTTACTATTATTGTCAATACTATAATCATTGTTATTATTATCATTGTCATCATCATTATAACTTTTATCGTAATTACTAGTATCATTATATCTTATCAATAACAATAATAATAATAATAATAATAATAATAATAATAATAATAATAGAAATAATGATAACAATAATAATGATAATAATAATAATAACAATAACAACAATAACAATAATAATAATAACAATGAAATAATAATAATAATAATAATAATAATAATGTAATAATAAGAAGAATAACAACAACAACAATAATTATAATAATAATGATAATAATAATAATATGATTAAAATATTAATGAAAATGATCATAATAACCATGATAATGATTATGATGATGATGATAGCGATAATAATATTGATAATAGTCACAATTATAATAATAATACTAAGGATAATAAAAAATAATAATAATGATAACAATTATGATAATAATGATAATGGTGACACTGATAATGATAATAACAATAATAATGACAAAGACAATGATGATAATGATAACAATGATAATGATGGTGATAATACTAATAATGATACTAGCAATAATGGTAATGATAACAAAAACAATGATACTACTATTACTGCTAATGCTTAAAATAATAATAATAATAATCATAATAGTAACAATGCAAATGCTAATGCTACTACCACTACTACTACTAATAATAATAACCGTAAAAATGATAATGATTATAATAGTAATGATGATACTATTACTACTACTACCACCACCACTACTACTACTGCCACTACTACTACCAACAATAATTATAATAATGATAGTGATAATATATATGTTAATAATAAAATGATGTAACATGATAGTAATAATAATAATAATGATAATAATAATGATAACAATAATAATGATAATAATAATAATAATGATAATAATAATAATAATGATAATAATAATAATAATGATAATAATAATAGTAATGATAATAATAATAATGATAATAATAATAATAATGATGATAATAATAATATCAATGATAATAATGACAATAATAATGATTTCAATTACAATTATGATGACTGTTACTATTATTACTATTATCAATATCATTGTTATATTTATTACTATTACAGTCATTTCCATTGTAATTATTGTTATAGTTTTTATGCACTTCCAAAGCCACTAGTGCTCGTTGCGATCACTGGAGATTTTTATATTATGATCAACTAATCCATGCTTTCAAATTTAAAGAAATTTTCCAAGAATTCTGATTCAAATGGAGTTTTGTAGACATTTTATTCTCATTCAGGTATCCATATTCCAGTAAAATGCTTGTGCAACGCATGTCATCTCTTTCTTTCTGGGAAAATTTTGTGAAGCCGTTTTGTCGATGTTTACCTTCATTGCGTTAGTTCTCGATAGCGGGGTTTGTGAAGCCATTTGCAGGCTTTGATTCTTTCTTGAGCTTTCCTTCTCTGTCCGTCCTTCGGCTGTCGTAGGTGTTATCTTAGTTACCTTCCATTTCTATTTTTCTAGCCTTCATTTGAATTCTCTAATTGCTGTTTTCAGTTGCAGTACACATCAACTGATCTTCAGACTAGTTGATGTAATTTTCAAGGTGTGTATCTTAGTTTTCAAGTTCCAAGAACTGCCAAATCAGCAAAAACTTCCAGATCAATGTCGTCCAGCGAAGAAACGGCGCTGTGTATCGAACTAGTACTCTTATTATTATTGTCTTCACCATTATCACATCATAATTGTCGTTATCATTATTACTGCCGTTACTATTATCATTACCATCAACATTATCATATGAATTACTTCATTATAATTATTATTGTTATTAGTACACATCACCATCAGTAGTTAATTGATATCATTATTGGTAGCATTGTTGTTGTCTTTATTGTTATTATTGTTGTTTTATTATTATTATTATTATCATCATCATCATCATTATTATCATAACATAATCATGATTATCACTTTATTGCTGTTACTAATTTCAAGATTATTAATGTTATCATTATTATTATTATCATTATCATTATTATTGTTATCATTACCATCGCTGTTGTTATAATAATATTATGATGATTATAACAGTGATAATGATAATGATAATAATGGTAATGATAGTATAATCATTAATAATATTGTTATTGTCAACGGCCACATTATTGAAGTAGCATTGGAATGGTAATCTATCGGCATTTCTGACCTGTAAGACCACTATATACCATGAATTTGAGGTTTTCCAATAGTTGTAGTTCAGGGAAACTCCACATTCCATTGAAGCTACAGAGTGTGGTGTTTATCCTATGGAGGGATAAGCCTTTAGTGTTTTACATGGCACTATAAACACCTGGTCTCGGGGACATAAGGGTGATACTCTATAGGCCTTGTAAACAAGGGCACCACTGTGCTCTGTGCTGGGTCGGCACGGTCAGGAGAGGACGTGGCGCTTGTGTGGCACTTGTGCCGCAGTTCAGTACTAACTCTCGTCGAACGTGGGTG